TTTTTTTTTTTCCTAGAGCAGGAATAATGGTGTAAAGTTATGCTTTATCATCTCTTGATTGCAGCTCTCCGCTAGCAGATGCAGTGGTTCTCGACTTTGTGGGAGAAGCATTAGAAGCCTGAAGTTTGTTTGTTGCAATCTTTTTCCTTTTTTACGTGTTAGTACCCTGTTGGATACTCGAATATTAATCGCTGGGCAAGAGCTACTGCAAAAGCGATGCAACTAAAGCAAATAAGAGTTGTTACAAAATTCGTTATTTTGGTTCACCATTTGACTCTCGATGGATTTGATTGAATGTTGTGCTTCTGTTCTTTATTATTGGCAAAATATTCTCCATTTTATCAGCACCTTCTATGTTTAGATATTTATATCTTGATCTCAAGTTGAGCAAGTGAAGCAATATTGCTAGCAAAGGATAATACGCGGGTAAAACAACTGCATTCTGTTAATTATATAGGTTATGCGAACCTGTCTGCTGAGATTTCTCCTCATCCCACATCCATCTCCAAAAATATCAGGTAACTGTGTGAGAGTCGTGAAGGAAAAGCTTGCTCGCACTTATGAAAGATACAAAAACAATGTTCTTTACTCCCATCCAAGCGCTTTATGTTCGCCTCTTTAACCCTTTCTGTGGTCTGTTCGCCGCCCGTCTTTCCTTCTGCGGCACCTCTATAAAACAGATCAAATTCCGATTTAAGAAAAGTCGCAATAATTACTCAAGTTTTTAGCTTGTATGTTAAAACAATGCTCGGTCTTTCAGTTTTATAAAAAATCCCCGGAAGGGTCATAGCCCTCTTTACCCGTGAAACAATTTTGAAAGATAATCCTCTTTTTCTTTCTAAATCATATTTAATTATCTTAAATACTGTATAGGAAGCAGAATCTTGATTGCCTCATTATGGACATTTTTCTTTCGGCATTTTCTGCCAGTACCTGTGAACTTCGTGTCTCGGTTCCAAAGATCGTGATGGACATAGGTGGTGTAACAAAAATATGTGGTGTTTTGTGTTGATAGAATTCAGCAGCTGGAATTATGGCATGGGAGTATGAGATGATAAGATTCGCGTCGTACTATAGTAAGAGCTAAAGCCATTATTCGAATCGAGTTATTTATGAACACAACTCGTTCGTCTTGTAAAATGTTGAGCTCGAATAAGCCGAATTTGAACAATGAATCGGACTCGTTTATTAAATGAGTCAAGCTAAGAAAAACTCTTCATTTTACATTTATTAAATGAAGCAGACGAGCCAAACTTGTTCGCGCCGCGGATGAGTAGTACGTGTTTGCAATTTGGAATTGTTTAAACAAATCAATCTAAGCAGTGTTTTCACAAGCTTGCACTAGCCGAGCTTGAGCTGAGACTTTGGTGTGTTAACTAAACAGGCACATATTTAATAGTATTTTTAATATAAATAAAAGCACACATTTAAATATAATTATATAAGTTAATTATTAGTTAATTTAAGTATTTGAATGTTTTAAATTTTCTAAATATTGAATTAACAAAGTTTTTAAATATAACTTTTATTACCTTAAATATTACATATTCAAAATATTAATAAAGTAAATAACAGTCCAACCGATTCGACCATTGGTCGGACCAGTGAACCACTGAATCAATATGTTGACCAGTTCGATGACCGTCCGGTTTTCAAAATCTTGTGAAATGCTACTAAGTATTATTGGAGAATAAGTGTGGTGGTGACATGGAGACAATAGTTTGTAACAAATAGAAACTAATACGACACTCATGTACTACACGGGCGCATGAAAAAATAATTTGAACTAAAAATAAAGAATTTAGTCTTGTAGTATATAAAAAATAAATAAATATAAGAAACCCCGTTAGAGTATGGTGTTAGAATCACGTTATGAATTCAATTCAAGGTTTTGGAGTATGAAAAAATTTGTTACCCTGTATCCGTCAAAAAATTGAAAACATTGTAAATTCAATTATCAAATAAAAGAATATTAAAAAAATTAATGTATATATGGTGTTAGTTAATTCAATTATCAAATAAAATAATATATAAAATTATTTATCAAAATAAAACATTGTTAACTCAATTATTAAAAAAGAAACATTGTTAACTCAATATCGACCCCCCAAATAAAAGTTCCATTATTAACTCAATTATTAGATTCAAGTGATCTTTAAAATGAAAAAAAATGCAATAAGGAAAGAAATATTTATGTGATCTTTGAATTCAAAACAAATTTGGTAATGAAAGAAAAATTGATTATGTATAGTGGAAAATTTAATTTTGGGACAGTTTTGTTTCCAAATTTTTATTCGAGCCTAAATACAAAGCATGATATTGTGATATGTATGATTACAAAGAGACAAGTCTTATAACCGATTAAAATGAGAAAATTACTCCCTACACCATAAATTTCAGTTTTTATTACAAAATTAAACATCTCTTATAAATATTAGCAATTCTACCTAAAATCATGTTTTTATTAGTAGATATACCAGAAAATAATGTAAGCATTTATTACATATTTTTAAATAAACCTATTAGTTTCTCTCCCCTAAATCACGTCTCTTTCTCCTTATTTATGTCTCTCTCTCTCCCTCTCCCTCTCTCTTCTTTTTTCGTTATCTCACCACCTCATCTCTCTCTATCCACGACCTATTATCATCTCTCCCTACTTCTTTCTTCTTTTTTCACTTGTGATCTGCCTAATCATTGAAATTTAATCGATTTTTATAGCCCCAACGATGTACAACGGAATAGGATTGAAGACTCATTGAAGCTCCGGCACGGGCGGCCACGTTCAGGCGAATGCCTTCACCGTGAAGGCGAGGGCAAATAGAATCATCACCGATATGAGCGAAGATTTCAAATCGGGCCAAGGCGCCGCGGGCGTGACCCGAGGGCCCAATAAGGAGATACTGGAGGACGAACACAAGAAGCAAATATATCGAAACTTTTGATTATGTTAAGTATATGTTATGTATATAACACGATTATGTATGTATATGTGCATGAATGGTATATACTTACATTTGTTTTCAAGACCGTGTATATGTGATGTTTACATATTAAATATATGACACGAATATATTATATATAATGAATAATATACTTACAATATCCCGAGTTTGCAACTTTGTAGTTGTTTTCAAAATTGTATATGTGACATTTATATATTGTATATATTTTGCAGCTTTAG